AGTTTAAACGTCATTAAGTGTCATTCACGCAGTGTTTTATAATTTGCAGGGATAATTTAGGTTGATAAAAGATCCAGGGGCCCGGCCTCAGTCCGCGGTCTTGAGTTGAACAGTCATCCGACATCAGAGCGAGTGAGTCGGTGTGAACAGCAGAGCCCTGCTGCACATCATGGGCGATAGTAGAGGTGAGACGGTTTTGATTTTTAATGCACATTTGTGAAGTAACACATGTGAAATGTACACTTAAAAAGCTGTAAACTTAGATTTTAATATGATTGCTTCAAGGTTATGATATTCATGAGAACCATGTATGATGTTCGTTGCCACTGTTTTTGTATATTACTAGAGTAGTGAAGTTATGATTAATACTCTTCCAGTTTGTAGACCTTGGTTTAGCAGTGTTTCATGAATGTTTTGTTAGTTTAGAAAGTTGAAAGTTTAGGTAGCTTGGTTTCAGTATCAGTTTCTTTAACTTTGCATGTATGTAAAATATATAGTTTTTCCCCCCCTTGAAATATTTAACAATAGCTCAACATCTTTTAAAATGATTGGCCACTCTGAATAAACGTATAATATTTACCTCTGTCCTCACAGATTCTCATAGTCCAGACAGCTCATCCGTTTCCTCGCCACCATCAGGTCAGCGTTCGCCCCCGTTGGGCCCTTCAGCCGCCGCCATGACTTCCCTGCCACCCATCACTTCGGCCGTGAACAGTCCCATCAGCAGCATGGGCTCACCTTTCTCAGTCATCAGCTCCTCTCTGGGTTCTCCTTGCCTTCCTGGAACTCCCTCGGTAGGCTACGGCCCCATCAGCAGCCCACAGGTGAGCACTTCCATGATAACACTTCTGGTTTTCCTCCGGACTCGACTCCCTATATTTCACCAATAGACCTGTATGTGCGCTACGAGACAAACAGTCCAGCTTGTTTGGTTTCCAGTTCTGCCATCAGGAGTTGAGTTAAGTATTTCTATTAATCAAAGAAGCTTGAAAAAAAATCATGGTCTCAACAAAACTATTAAGAAGCACAAATGTTTTCAGCATTTAGCCTATAATAAGAAATGTTTCTCAAGCAGCAAATCAGCGTATTAAGAATGATTTCTTGAAGGATCATGTGACTCTGAAGAGAAGACTGGAGTAATGATGCTGAAAATTCAGCTTTGCATC